TCTGTGTTCCCGGGCCCAGCCCCTCGTCAAGCCCCAAGGTTTCGCTGTGCGTCAGCAGCGGGGCTGCCTGCCCACGCTGGCTGGGCATTGGGTTTCGGCTGCTCGCCCCTGCATCGCCCACACCCATGGCCGGCTTTCACTTCGGGGCTGTTTCCACAAAGAAAGGCACAGCGCGGTGGCCCTGGTCGCTGTTGCTATCCTGCAGAGAGTTAGACGGCCGCAGGGCCCCACAGCGCACAGGCTGCCCCTCGCCCTCGCGGCCCGGCCATGCCGTCCAACAATTACTTCAGCACATGACAAACTACCTCCAATTTTAGACCTTCAAGGCGGCCTCTGAGCAGTCGAGTCGCCGCTGGAACACGTGCCAAGGGTCTACTCTGTGAAAAGGCTCTCTTCACGGAGGCCGGCGGGCACGCCCGAGCCCTCCCTGTGCCAGGCCTCGTCAGCACAGACGCCCGAGGGGCCGAGCACCCGCGCTGCGCAGGCCCAGCTCGGGCTGGCCCGACCCCAGGGACCCCAGGCCCCCAGCCCCACTGGGGCTTCTGACAGCATGCCGGAGAAAGTTCTAGGCCTCGCAGTTTGGAGTGCAGGGGAGCTGGGGGTGCAAAAGCCTGTATGAGATTTACTGTAAGCAACTTAAGACCCGAGGAAAGCAATTAGAAGGCAAGAAATCAAGTGGAAAAAAAAACCTTCACAAGGCTCCGCGCTGGGAATGGGATAAACAGCGCCCAGAGGCCAGCTCAGCCACTGCTCTTTCAGCCCCTGAGGGGGAAGTGGCCAGGCTGCCGCCCCCACCCTGGCTCCCCCAGGGGCGGGGACAGCCAAGGGACAGCTGGCACCCCAACTCTGGTGTGAGGGCTGCCCCTGGGCCTTGGCCTGAGCCTGAGAACCTTGCCAAGCCTGAGGGATGGCCATGCCCTCAGTGTGTGAGAGACAGACACACTTAGACACACTGACACACACTCACACATACACACACACTCCGACACAAACACATACACTAACACACACACATATACAGTCACAGACACACACACTCATACACACACCATCACGTCGCCCTTCCCACAGTCTCAGGTACAACCACCCCACACCCGGCCCCACAGTCTTACCTGCCTCTCATCTGCACGCACACACATGCACGCATGCACACACGCAGTGTTTGTAAAGAGCGGGGCGGGTTTCCCAGCCCCCTACTCCCTGGCTTCTTCCCCCTGGCTGAGCAGCGTGTGATCTGAGACCCTCTGCTCTCTCCTTGGACCACAAGAACCTACGGGCAATTGCCCAAAGCAGGAACAGATCACCCCGAAACGGCACCAAAGACTCCGGCACAGCTGAACCGGAACCCAGAGCAGGCAGGCCCGGCAGCTTCCTAGCCAATGACAGAGGGGGGCCTCAGGGAGGTGCCTGGTGGGGAGGCAGGCGGGGGTCTCTGCCACCCCACCCCCACTGCTCCAAGCAGAGCAGTTTTGCTTCATCTGCTTTATACAGTGAGCTTTGGATATGGTTTCTTTAGAAAAAAGTCCCATTTCATTACACTACAAAAGAGATTAAGAAGCACTAATCCAGCCCCCTCCTGTCTGAGATGAAAGAGCGAAGGCGCTGGCTGGGTCGGCCTCAAGGCCTGTGGGCAACAGAGCAAAGACCAAAGACGGGGACCCAGGCGCCCTGCAGCCACAGCGCAGCCAACGATGGGGAGACTTTCTTTTGTGTGACTTGTCACCCACTGGGCTGCCCTGGACGTCTGACAAATGGTGCCTGTGCTGGGTGACGTTTTCCCCTGGGCGCCCAAAGGCCTACAAAGAAAGGCCTTCAGAAGGCACTAGCCCCGAGGCGGGCCAGGAGGAGGTGGGTCCCCCATCCCGGGGCCACTAGCACGGCCAAGCGGATCACAACAAGCCCAGAGCCAGGTCTGGCGCTTGTCCCAAGACTGCAACCTGAGGGAGGCTCGGGGGAGCCGGGGGGTGGGGGACTCCGTGGGCAGCAACGTGACTGGCCTGAGAGGGGCGTGGGCTGTCCTGGGAGCTGCCCTCCCCGGAGGCGAAGGCGCGGACAGCTTCTTCGGAGGTCCCCTCAGAGGCGCCAGGTATGCTCAGGGCCATTTTAAGTCACTTCAGTGCGATCCTCTCACAGGGCCTGGGCCGCATGGTGCCTGCTCAGGCTATTCCTGCCCCCCCACCCCGTCAGTCCTGTCTGTCACCCTCACAACCGCCACCCTCTCCAGAAAGCCCCCTGGAATTCAGGGAGGATAGGCCAGCCCCACTCCAGTGCGCGTCTCTGGCAGCCCCGTGGGACCAGGCGTGGTTAGGCAGCCACCCTGGGGCTGCCCCGGGGCAGGGACCGTGGATCTGGAGAAGCCCCCAGACGTGGCCCATGCGGCCCACGGCCTGCCCCGGGCCCCACCGGATGCCGTCAGGTGGCCTAGCTAAATGTTATCTTGAACTTAAACCCGTAAGAGAGAGCTGAGTGGCACTTCTCCAGCACACCTGTGGGCGGCGCCATCTGAGGAAAAGCACACACGCCCTGGGGAGCCCCCTTCCCGGCCACTCAGGAAGTGCCTGCCAAGGGCAAGCACAGCCGCAGGTGGACCCCATCACCCATCGCACGACATCCCTACGGCTGTGACCCCACCACGGGCCCCAAGCCCACCCCGAGGGCAAGAAATGATGGAGCCGGACACCAGAGGCTTCTGAGCACAGCGGAGGCGGGGCAGACTAGCAGGGGCCACTATCCAAGGCCTGCTACCCCGCGGGAGCTGCACCAAGCTCACTTTTGTTTCTCCAATTAATCTTGTGAGGCAGGAATGACCCCATTTTACAGACAAACGTAGGCTCAGAGGGTCAGAGTCAGCCTGAAATCGAGTCTGGTTTACTCCCAAGCTCAGGTCCTTAAATAGCAAATCCAAAGAGCCCCTGTCTGGGGTCACGCTGCCCAGTTGAGCTGTGACCTTGGGGCAAGCCACTCACCTCCCAGAGCCTCACTCTTCCCCTGAAAGGCAGGCCGGTGACAGAAATCACAACAGTGCCACCCAGTAGGGCTGCCGCGGAGAGGAACAAGCTCATGCGTGAGATGTCAGAGCGAAGGGTTGGCCGGGAGGAAACTCCCGAGACGCGGGTGGCTTCCGGTCCTAATGCCCAGGGCCAGCGAGGATGCCCTCTATGTTGTCTCCTCAGAAAAGGGGCCAGGGCGGCCACAGGAGTAAGACAAGCCTGACCAGTGTCCTGCCGTGTCCAGTGCAGGCCTCAGCCAGTCCCCCTGGATGGCAGAGCAAGCTGCCAAAGCCACCAGGAGAGACTCAAACTGCCGCCCCCCGGGTCCTGGGAGGTCCTCAGGGGCCGTGAAGGGAAGGAGACTGCCATCAACATCCTCTCCCTCCCGTGCCCAGGGGACAATGGGAGGAGGTGACTGCAGCCAGGCCCCACGTGCGTCTGCCTGCCTGCGTCTCCGCATGTGTCTGTGTGTCTACGTGTACGTGTGCCTGCAGTGCGCGGGAAGGGGTTTGGCAGGGTTGTAACTCCAGGCGCCTTAGCATGAGGCCCCGCAGGTCCGGCCGGGCAGCCTTCCCTACACACCTGCCCCACAGGTGCCGCCGCCGGGGTGGGGCGGGGAGGGGACAGAAGCAGCCCCACCAGCTCTGGACGACAAGAAGAGCAGCCTGGACGGAGGGTCCCAAAGCCCCTGCAGCGGGACAGTCGGCCGGAGCCGCTCCCCGCAGGAGCAGGCGTGTAAGCCGGGGCCCAGCTCCCAGGCTGGCAAGCCAGGGCCCACAGCCCAGAATCAGAGGGGCTGCTGTACAGGTGGGGAAACTGAGGCTGAGAGGGTCACAAAGCCAGACATCACCAGGCCTGGCCCTTCTGCAAGCTTGGCTTCCCCCTAGCGGGTCAGGGGTCTCACCCACACATGGAGCCAGCCCCCGCCCACCACCCCGTCAGCCCAGGGATTAGCAACCCAGGCCTGGGAGACGCGGTGCAGCTTATGGCCTCAGTGCACGTGAGCCGGGTCAGGAATGAATCATATCATTATGGCAGGATTAGAAGGAAAATGCCATCAGAGCACGCTGTGCGCACACATGTATTTAATAAGGTCAGCAGCAGCAAGCAGCTGGCAGGCCAGTGCCACCAGGCCTCTGAGCCCTGCCGTCCTGCACTCGCCAGCACCAAAGAGAGGTGACGGGGGCGCGGACGGGCCACCCAGACCCAGCCTAGGGAGCCAGCGTCTCCTCCTACAGGGCCTCCCTACTTCCTGGGCCCGCCTGCTTAGGGTTAGTTGTGGGTCCTCCCCCAACACCACGCAGCCCCAGAGCGAAACGCACTCCCCCAGGGCGCCACACCCCCGGCTCCTGCTCTCTGCTTGCAAGTGATTGGGGCAATCGATTGTACATCACAAGACTATTAATCTGAACTCTCCTTGGTGACACAATGCCCAGTTGACAAATATGGGTAAGAAGTGTGGGAAGCTCCTAGGGAATGGGCGTTGATGGAGGAACTCCGGCTCCCAAGCAGCTCGAGGCGGCCTTGGACCAGGAAGCCGCTCCCTCTGCCTCTCAGGCCCCCGGGGCACCCGCCCAGGCATCTCTCTGTGCTGGCTGCGGACAGGAGCCTTGCGGCCACGGGCTGCCTTGACAGGGTGGTAGAGCTGCCCGCGGAGAGCTCCCTTTCCCTGAGCTCTTAGGGCCCCTCACTCACCTCCCAGGGTTCAGATTCAGTTGTCCCTCCACACCCGTCTCGGGAGCCCATAGAATGCCAAAGTGTACCCAGTAAACTCTCAGATCACCCCCCCCCATTCCCCAGCACACGTGGGGAGACCAAAGAGAAGGCAGCAGTGAACACGCATGTATTTAGAATGTAACTGCTCCCTCTCCTCCACCCACCTTCGCTCACCCCTCCGAGCAGGCTCACTGTAAGGGCCTGCCGTGCCCCAGGCGCCACCCTGGGCTCTGGGGAGGCGAGGTAAACAAGGCGGGTGAGCCACCCCAGCAGGGGCGGGAGGAAGGTACTCACAGCTCCGTGGACCGGGACAGGGTGGCAGACAGGGTGAGCAGGATGCATCCAAAGGGGCCCACTTCAAACTGGAAAGAGAAAGGAATGAGTGCCCGTCAGGCCCGCACCTCCCCCGTCGCGCATCCCCAGGGCCATCGGCAGCCCAGGCCGCAGCCTGCCCCTGAGCCCACTGTCCCCGAGCCCACTGCCCCTGGCCCGGCCCCGGAGCTGGCTGGCGGGGCCCTAGGCAGAGCCTGTCCAGGTCTCACCTGCAAAACCCCTAAGGCATGAAAAGCACCCCAGCCTGAGTGGCAACCGGAGCAGACACAGCGCCCACCAAGGAGCATAGCCTTGACCGCCAGGTCCCAGAAGCCCAGGATACAGTGCTGGCAGGAGCGGCCTCCGTTACCGATGCAAGTGTCTTATGCTCCCTATCACATTTCAAACTCGCACAGACCTGTCCCCCGCGGGCTGTTATTACTGCCCTCTGCCACGTGAGGGAATTGGGGCTCAGCACCTACGCAGGCGGCCCGAGGTCACGCAGCTGGTGAGTGGCCCAGTGGGCTTGCAGGGGGCTCCGTCTGATCCAAGTCCCTTACCCCCAAGGCCAGCGCTGTGGGGAGCGCAGCAGAGAGCGAGCGGGGCCGGGGCAGAGGAGGGCCAGTGAGGTGGGCTGGGCAAGGGTCAGGGCAGATCCGGTCTTTCAAAAAAGTTCATGTTTTGTTCCTCATGGATGTTTTGGGTTAACTTGGTTATTTTTTAGTCACTGCGTTACAATATTATTTATGCTCATTACTGAGGTTTTTGGTACCCCCTTGGATTGTGCACCCAAGGCGAAGAACACCGTATATGTCTCCCAGTCGTCCCGACCCTGGTTTGGAGTCCACAGCCTAGGCCTGGCTGCCTGGGTTTAAATCCCAGCTCTGCCACTCCCAACCATGTGACCACAGTCCCCTGTCTTCTCATCTGTAAACAAGGACACAAATAATAGGACCTACCCCCACCAGGTTACTGTGAAGATGTAAGTGAGATCGTCCTTGGAAAGTGACTAGAGCAGGGCCCAGCACCTGCGTTAGCGGTCAGTGTGATGCTTGCTCTGCCCTGCCCACCTGTCCAGGGAGCCCCACAGGCCACATGCCACCCCCCAGCGGCCAATCAGTGTGACAGCCTCGCTCATCCCACTTTCGTGACGATACCACTTCTGCGAACTGTTGTCGAAAATAGTCAGTTCCCTACATGGATCAGTTTCAAATTGTTTGTCATAACTGTTTTCCTAGAACAATAAGAATTATAGAGTTTATCATATTTCCATTTTTCCCTTGGCTGCCAGGAAGCTCAGAGCCAAAGGTAGTGATCAACTGCGTAACTATTTTAGCTCAAGCTTCTGATAAAATCTTTTTCTCCCCCTTCAAACTATAATCTTTTCTTTCATCCAGTAATTCAATTAGTCATTCAAAAAAAAAAAAAAAAAGAGTGCCACGCAACAGTTCTGTGCTAAGAGGCTGCTCGCTGGTAAGGCTTCCTTGTGAACAGGCAGACACACCTGCCCTCACGAGAAGTAACTTAAGGAAGAAAGAATCATCAGCAACCGAAAGGGTGGGCAGGAGCTCTGTCTGGTGGGAAAGACAAGGTCCCCTGCAAACACACAGGAGGGAGTGTCAAGGAAAGCTTTCTGGAGGAAGTGATGCCCGAACAGAAAACTAAGGAGGAATCAGAAGAGGAGGGAACGCTGTCCTAGGCAGGAGGAAAAGCACATGCGAAGACCTAGAGGCAAGGGAGGGCAGGACTACTATGGTCAGAACACAGAAAAGCCCTGAAGACATTTTTTTAATGAGCAACCTTAAATCTTTTTTGGAAGTAGAAATGGAATGAATGAATCAACACTCTTAAATCACCATCATCTTAATTCTGTGATAGCAGGCCAGGCACTTCACTTCTGCCATCCTCATTTTCCCCACTTACAAAACGAGGATGACGACTACCTACTTTGCATATTCCCCGAGGTTATGGCGCTCACCCTAAAAGACCCCGCCTGTGGACGCACTCTGACAACCTCAAGGAGTAGCGCTGGCCTCCTTGCAGCGGGGAACACAGGCCCGGAGGACTTGGGCCGCCTGCACCCTTGTCGCAGCTTGACCGTGGACTGGCATGTTGCCTTGGCGAGTGGCAAAGCCCTCTCAGCCTCAGTTTCCCCTTCTGAAATGCCTACCGACTTCTGCCAGGACGCGCACACAGTCCCGAGGAAGCCAGGGCACCTTCTCGCCGGTTTCCCCTCACGTCGTGCCTGCAACTTGCAGGACTGCGGTGAAGTAAGGGACCCTGCAAGCCCTAGCTCCCTGGAAAAGTGAGGCACCGCTGTTACTGCCGAGCCAGCCTCTGTCAGGGGTGTTGGGACACCCGCCGGGGGACCTTCGCACGAGCCCTGGTCTGGGCTTCTGTGGGGACTGGTCAGGTGGCACTACAGATGGTGGGGAAGTGACCCTTGCCTGGGCTTCTGGCCCTTGCTGGGACATGCCTGAATGACACCAGCATCCCATTTTCTTAAAAAAATAAAATAAAATTATTAAAATGATCTCATCAAATTCAAGCTGCCAAGACATGGGAGACCACAAAGCCAGATGCCGGCATTGAAAGGCCAGAGAGCACTGTTAGGGTCTGGAAAAACATCTGGCCCCGCTTGGAGAGAAGGGGCCATTCCCCACGCTGCTCGGGCCTGCAGAGACCTGCGCCCACCCAGGAACCCCAGTCGGAGGCAGGGGCCGAGGCAGCCCCCACCCCGCCCCAGCTCACGGGGGCCAGCCAGACACCTCGCCCCGAGGGTGAGCGGTAATGAAAACACAGCAGGGAGGCTATTTATTTTCCGCAGAGGTGGTTCAGTGTTCACTTCCAGGCCTGGCACGAGGGAGCCCTCTTAGGCCCAGGCCATGAAAAATGAATTTGTTGAGGGTAGTGCTGAGGCAGCTCAACGGCTTCCAGCAAAAACATGAATTAGGCTGCGGGGGAAACACGCCTCCCAGAGAGAGGGCCAGCTATCGACCGCGTGTGCCGGGCCCAGGGAGGGCGAGGTGGGGGCTGTTCTGCGCCCAGAGGCTGACAGAAGGGAGGTGGCCCCCGCCCCAGCACAGGCCTCACGCTCTGAACCTCATTCACAAGCGCTGTTTTGCTTGGGCTTCCTAGACACCCTGGGGGTACCGTCCAAGGAGGGGGAAAGGCCCCATCTTACACTCAAGGATGCAGAAGACCTTGGTCCTGAGGGGTCGCCCAGGGGCCATCAGTAGGCAGGGCAGGGGCCTCAGAGGCTTGGGTCATGGAATCGGTCACCCCAGGACCCCTCCTCTGCCCCCCGGGAGGCTCACGGGTCACCTCCCTCTCCTGGCCTCGGCAGCTGCAGGATCTACTTCACCCGACAACGCAAGCCTGGCCTCCCAGGTCAACCGACGCACGCTGGGCCCCTCTCTTTAGCAGGCTGTGCCCTTCTCAGGCACGCGGCTCTACCACCATAGCCCTCGGGGAGCGCCTTTCCGCCCGGCTTCCTTCCTGCTTACGCAGAGCGCCTGGTACTTAACCTGGAAGACATTCTTTCCCCTGAATTTACGTTCCTTCTTTAAGAACCTTGGTCTCGTATGGTAAAGACGTGGAAGCTACCTACTAATTGCTCCACCTTCCATTTTCCAGATGAGTGACTTTCCTAAGGCCACATGTAACCAAGGTCCCCAGGCCTCTGCTACAGGCCACTGTGGCCGCCCGGGGCCAGGTGACCCACTGGGTTATGCTCATGAAGAGCCAGAGAGAGGTGGGGACAGGCAGCAAATGACAGCCAGCCTGAGGCTCCTGACACCTAGGCCAGGGATGCCCCCACATCAGGGCCCCTCCCACACACAGCCCACTCCCCGGACACAGCGGCCAGTGCGGAGAGGCAGCGCCCCAGCCTGGGCACCCAAGCCAGGCGACAGCTCTGAGGGTGAGGATTTCAGGTGGACCAGTGCCCAGTGACCACCCTCCTGCCTCCCATGGTCTCAGCAGGTCCCACTTCTCTGCCCAAAGGGCCTCTGTGCTGTGAGGGCCAGGACACGTCCCAGTCTTTGGTGATTTGTGCCAGGAGTGGGACTGTGACCACAGGTGTGTCCAGCCTGCTCCCACATCCGGCAAGTTCTCCCACCCTCCAGGCTCACCACCAAACCTTCTGGTGCCTTCTCCAGGGCCTACAAGAGCAGAGCCCGCAGCCCGGAGGCTGGAGGAAAGGCAAAGGGGAGGCCCGGAGAGTTCGCCCGCACCCACCAGGGCGGCTTGGCGCACTCCTCCCTTCGGCTGACACACAGACGTCAGAATGGCGAGGTCGTGCCGCTGGGGCTCTCAGGGGCCAGCAGTCTCTGGCCTTGGACCACTCTGCACCCTCCCTCTGCTAGGCTTCCCTCTCCTTTCTGTGTGACTATCCGTGGCCTGTCTCAAGGTTGCCTTACGTAACTATGACAGTGGTGATCGTGACACCCATGAGGAACACCACCAACCCTGGGAATGTCGAGCTGGGCCCTCTGCCTGCTGCTCTGAGGCAGGCATGGCTATCACTGCCCCTGTGTACAGGTGAGGAAACTGGGGCCCAAGGCCACAGAGTTCCTGCTGGCTCTATCCTAAATGCAAATCCAGGCCGAAGGCTCCAGAGACGATGTTTTCTACCCCTGGAGCATTTGGCTCCTGCCGTCCTCCACAGCCACGAGCCACGGCCCAGATCGAAAGCCCTCAGCCCTTGACCATGCTGCTCCCAGCCTGGCCAGGTCCCGCCCCCTCTCACTGCCAGCAGTGGGCACACACATCGCCACCGGCAGACGGGGGACTCCGGGCGCTTTGCCTGACCCTGCCCTGCCTCCCAGGACCCCGTGTGAGGGCCTGCACCGAGTGCCCAGGCTCCCTCCAGTGCCCATGCCTCCGAGCCAGCCCAGGAATCCACACCCCCGTCACCTCCCCTGCAGCTGCTGGGCCCCAGGCACCCACAAAGGGTTCCTTGCACCTGGAGGCGGCGGCTTCCCCCTGGACCAACACTGAGTTCTCATAACCACTGCCCGTTACTGCTTCCCTTCACTCGGACCCTGCTCCGCCCCCCCTTGCAGCCCCCCGCACTGTGGCAGCATCCATACCTTGCAGCCAGAGCCAGCCCTCAAGGATGCAATGGCAGTGGCTGGATCCCTGCTCCCCAAGTGTATCCTTCTCCAGCCTAAATCGCCCACTGCCCTCGGCCGTGGTACCCAGGGCCAGCACCAGCTCCTTCCCAGCCCCTTCCCCCCACCCCCCGTTTCACCAGCATCTCTGCTGCAAACACAGCCGAAGGCTTAACAGTGACGGCCCCCAAACTACACCTCTGTGCATACCTGATGGATGCTCTGCTGCAGAAAAGCTACCAGTTCCTCGTAGCAGGTCAAAGTGTGGAGCATGAGCTGAGGAGACACAAATGCACAGGGTGACCCGCCCGAGCCCTGGGGCTCTGAGAAGCACCAGGGGGAGTCTGGGTGGGGGGGCACTGTGGGGCAGGTGTCCCATCCAAACCGCCGTCCAGGCCAGCGTTAAGCCCAGCGGGCAGTGTCCTGAGCCCACTGGGAAGCAGCAGATATGAGGGGCTTTAGTTTTCTCAGGCAGGCCAGGAAGAATCACTCTTAGAGAAAACACCCAGCAAAGTGAGACCCTTTGGGGGCACTCAGGTCCAGGTCAGATGACACAAACTAGGTGAAGCAAAAATCCTCCGTGAAGAGATCAACTGCTTCACTGCTCACAAATCCTCAGTGTGAAGCAGGTTAACGGGGAAAGTCACTATTTCTGTACTGTCGGCCGTCTCGCATTTCCTCTCCCTTCCTTCGCCTTCCTTAGGTCTGGTTTGGTGGCCAACGCTTGGTCCTGCCGACGCTCTCCCACACCTTCCAACTCCCTCTCCCTTCTCCGCCACCCTCACCCCTCTCTCAAAACAAGCCCCGCAAGGACATGAAAAGGGTAACTGGAGGCGGCGTGCGTGGCCGCCTCGCAGTACGCGGGGCTGCCGGGGCAACTTGGGGACGGCACAACCTCGACATCACAGGCCGCCCATCAGCCGCTTTTTGGCCATAAAGCCAGTCTGGCAAGAGCCCGTCCCCAAAGCCCCCACCTCTGCCCGCCCCAGTCCCAGGTAGGGGTGTCTGCTGGCCGGGACCACTGGGAGGGCTGGCCCCTCCCTGGCAGCGGAAGGATTTACTTATATGAAAGGAGACCGGGCCCAAACAAAGCCAAGGGTTGCGTGATAATTTTCCAGAAAGCCGTACTGTTTCTAAGACTCCATCTGCTTTGTATTTCCCTGTTGGAATGAACTGCTGTGTTCCCGAAGCCCTAAAAAGGAAACAGAGATGCATGAGTCCTGTGCATGGAAAGAAGACGCGACCCTGAGCCAGGGCAAAACCACATGTGCCATTAAATGAGGACAAATGAGGGGTGGCTCAGGGGAAAGGAGGGCGCCAAGGCGTTCTCATTTTTCCCCAGCCGGCTGGTCCGGGGAGTGCCACTGCCAGGAGGGAGAATAAAAAGGGAATGGAGAAGGACAGCAGAACGAGAGCGTGGGGAGGCCGAGCCCAGGGCCTGCCGGGAGGAAGCCTGCCTGTCACCCGCAACCGACAAACACGTCCCCAGACACAGGGATGCTGCCCTGCCCCTCGCATTCGGGCACATCAGAAATTCTGGCCTCTGGCCTCTCGGAGACGCCCACCGAACCCGTCGGCCCAGCCAGACATGGACTAGAAGGTGGGCGTGGGGTTGGGGCCCGCTGTGCCTTTAGCAGGCTGTGTGGCCTTAGACCAGCCACTGCCCCTCTCTGGGCTGCTTTTCTTAGTCTGTAAAACAGGAAGAAACAAAGTTTTTGCCCCGTCTGCTCTCAGGACTGCCAGGCAGATCCTAAGAGCCAAGGATAATAAGTTAACTAGAGCCTGGGTACCAAGGACCAGCACTCCACAGGAACAATAAGAGTAATGAAGACAGCACCTACTGACGTGGCACTCAGTGCGTGCCACACGTTGTCCTGAGCACTCCACAATTGTTATTTATCATTTATTTACATGGGTGTATGATTTAAGCTGATAGATAATATTATCATTATCCATCACTTTATTTACATTGACTCATTAATTCTCCTGTAATAATGGCCATATGATGTAATCATCATCTGCCCCATTTTCCAGGTGAGTAAACAGATGCAGCACAGAGAGGCTGAGTGGGTCACCCAAGGTCACACAGCCAATAAGCTGCAGCGCTGAGAAAGGTACCCCTTCACTGAAGCTTGGCCACGTGGCCGGGCGGGGCATGCTTCTCGCTGAAGCCAGCTGGCCACCTCTGGGCACACTGAGGATGAGGGCAGCCCCCTTCTCCTGGAGCAGGAAGGAGGTAGCAGAGAAAAGGCTCCCGCTGAGTCCCCTCCTCAAAGGAACAGGAACCCAAGTGACAGAGCACACTGAGTGAGCTTTGGGGACTGGGGAGAGGGTACCAATCGGGGCATGACTGGGTCAACTGACAAGCTCTTCTCTGAGGCTTCCGGGTCAGGAGAGCAGGCTGCCCGGGTCAGAGGTCTTCTCGGGCAGGTTCTGTCTCCTGGGGCTCCCCCAGGAGGGAGGCAGGGCAGATCCGACCGTGTCTCACAGGGCGGGCTGCCAGTGCATCGGGCGGACCCCCTGGGCTGGTCCCAGCCTGGGTGCATGGCAGGGCGTTGGGGGGCACACAGGCAGGTCCTTATCCTGACAACACGCAGCCAGCCCGCCCACAGCGAGGCCAGCCCAAGGCCGAGTGGCAGCAGCACAGCCCCGGGAAGCACTTACAGTGTGACCACGGCTCTCTCACGGCCGCCGGCCCGCCACAAAATGTCCGCGATGGCCAGGGCCAGGCAGTGGGTCCTGTGGGCATTTGAAGGTTGCAGCTGCCTGAGGGTGGAAAAGGACATGCGTTTATGTCTAGGGGGACACAAACTAGGGACAGCGCAGCCCTGTGGCAGAGGACCTGTCCTTTCCTACGCCACTCAGAGGGGCTCCTGCAGAGCCTGGGAGGTACCTCCTCAGGTTAGGACCCTGGGAAGGGCCTTGAGGGAGGGGCCCTGGGCGAGGTTGGAGGAGAAGCACAGGGGCCTGGAGCAGGGCTGGCCCTGGGGTGCGGGTAAGAAACCGTGGTGTGTCCTGCTCGCCCAGGAGGCCGAGAAGATGGGCCCCAGACCTGCTGCCGTCCAAGGAAAGAAAGCCATCCTGGGCAAAGGCGAGGCGCTGCCCCATCCCGCCATGCCCAGTCGGACCCCTGGACCCCCAGAGACAACAGCTTGTGCAAGCAGTGGTCTTCGCCCCTCCCAGCCATAAGGAAATGAGACCACAGGTGCGGGCTGGGGCCTGCCTGGCCAGTGACTTAGAAGTCAGAGAGTGTGGGGAGGAGGGAGAGGAAGGATTTGGGATGAAGAGCACAGGTTGGGGATCAGCGCTGGGGGAGGCGGTCAGAGGTGGACATGGGAGACCCAGGCAAAGGTGGCGAACACGTCTGAAGGCCCGAGGAGTGGATGGGCTGAGGATAGGCGGATAGGCGTACGAGCCACCAGCACCTGAGGGCTCCTTGGCACTTGGAGTGACTAAGATTGCCCAGGGAGAGGACAGGAAGGGCAGGGCGGTGGCCAAGGACTGGGGGGAGCAGTAAGAACGATAGGACTGTGAGAAGGATGGGCAGTCATCGGTGCCAAAAATGGCAGAGAGATCACTGACGGGGGGGGAAAAAAAAAGAAGGGTGACCAAGAGGCCCCTGGTGGGTGACAGGAATGAGAGGGAGGAGGGGAGCCGGCTGAATGCAGACGCTTCTTCCCGCTTCCCGTTTCCAGGGCCCTGGAGAGTTGCACTTTCATTAACCGTGAAAACAGCCCTACGAAGGAGGAAGGTACTAGGATCTCCTTTTCAAAATGGGAACGCTGAGGCACTGAGACTGAACAATTCACTCCAAATCACTCAGTAAAAATCAGAAAACTTAAAACAGCATTCAGGGAGGAAGGAGAACTGGGGAAAGGGAACCAACTGCCTGGCTCGCTTGGCTCTGAGAACCAGCCTCCCTTGGCCTGCCAGCCCGTCTCGCAGGCACCGTGCTCCCAGTCACGGACCCTCTGAGCTCCCGTGTTTCTACATGAAAGTCCTCATTCTTTCCCAGGCTTCCACTTAATCACTTTTCCAGTCTCTCCATCCTTCCCTGAGCCTCCTCCAGCTGGTCATGTGAGACACAGCTTTCCAGAAAGCACCGTGGGGAGGGGAAAGGGCAGGGTCAGGCCTGGGTTCCACCCCTGGCGCCCAGGCCTTGGCAGGCCCCTTGCCCTCGCTGACTCTCACCTCACACCTATGAATGGGGCACTGGCCAGGTGCCTCTGAGCATCATTCCAGCCTGACCATCCTGCCATTTAACTGGCCCTGGGGCACACGGGAAAATCAAGAGGAAGGAGGTGATGTGTTCAGTCGCCTGCTCCACCATCCCCAAATAACTCGGCGTGTGCCTTCACTGGCCATACCTCGGGGACAAGGATGGTCCTGCATTACCTTGAGCAGCCAGACACACACTTATCAAACCCCTACCGTGCATCTCGCACCTGGTCGGCTCCTAACCAAGAGAAGCTTCTCTCAGAGTCTAATCCCCAGGAGGGGCGCAGGGGACAGACACTTGCCTGGGGATGGGGTGGAAGTGGGGAGACAATTCACTCCACGTTTGCCTACATCATCCAAGTCTTTCCAAGACGTCTCTACCCTAATCACCTTAAAAATGCTGGATTGGTCTGAGTTTATAGAAAACCCGGAGGGAAGCTGGCAAGGAACGGCGGCCGGTTCATCCACCTGCAGCCTCTTACAGTCAAAGGCTGCTGGGGCGGGGAAGGAAGCTGGCCTGGGGGCTACTGGGCCTGGGCTCCCAGACGGATCTGCTCCCAGTGTCTGGAGGAGTCTTGGGCAAGGGCCCCTCCTTCTCTGGGCCTCAGAACCCCCATTTTCAGAGAAGTGAAGGCAAGGGGACAGGGTCCTTGTCTGCAGCCCTGTCTAGACCTGCAGGACAATGTGGCTCATCGCCTTTCTCTTCCCACCAGCTGAATGACCTGCACAACCGTTCCCCTAGTGGAAAAACCCCAGTCCCGCTGCCGGGCTCTGTCCTCCCCAACTGAAGAGAGGCCAGCTGCCGGCCTGATGGAATGAGCCTTCATGAGGCCAGACAGCACTGCAGAAAAAACACCGCCCCTGCCAAGAAGCCTTTATTTCGGCATGACTTCACTGGAGGGCACAGTCACATCCTCAGGGCGGCTTTCACGGAACTGTTCCCCCACCAGTCGGGAGGCGAGAGAGGGGAGAGAGCGAGGAGGGGGCCCCCGCCCAGGCCGCTGGCCCAGCAGAGACAGCCCAGGATGGTACACATGGAGCCCCTCGGTCCCTGGGTCCAGGAGCCCCCCCAGAGCTCACCAGCTGCCGTCACTGCCGAGGTGTGCTGTGCCAGGTGTTCCTGAAGAGTCAGGAGTGTGCCCGATTTTTTTTTGAAGTTGAGTCATTTCTGACATCCTGGAATTTCAGAGTCAACGTGAACTCTGAATCTTCAAACCCAAACAAGCATACATGGCCCGCGAAGAACATCAATGGCCCAATCAATCAATATTAACATTGAAGAAATAAAACCAGAGAAGCTGGGGACTGAGAGAGGTCCCTGCAGTGTCACCCTTTATGTGGATGAGACAGCGGGTCCCTAGGTATTTGCGGTATTATTCTCTGTACTCTTTGGTATTGATTTTTTCCAAATGAGGACAAAAGAGGAGGTTCTGCAGAGAAGCCCTTCATAAAACACCAAGCCAGCTGTCGGTCACTGAGAGGCCATGGGGTGGGGGCAGTTTCAGGCTCCTGACGCTGGAGTCCCCCAGCGCAGCCCCTCCCAGACCCTCCCATTGCCAAGGCTCCTCTAGGGCACAGCAGTGTGTGCGAGTGACAGGGCGTCACGTGCCAGGCCTGCTCTGCCGTGGAAGCCAGGTGTGTCCCCGGGCAAGCAGCGGGCCTCTCTGGGCCTCGGTTTCCCCACATGTACCACGGAAGGCGACGCCCATAGTTCTACTCGCTCGCACAGCCCTTGATGCTTCACAAGGACTCCGTGCGCACAGTCATTCTCAGGCAGGGCAGAGGCTCAGCAACGGAGAGCGTGAGGCCCGGCTCGCCCACACCTTCAGGTCTCTAGGCCCCAGTCCCGCGCTCTTCTTTATCACCCCCAAGCTGGGGACAGTCCACGGAGCACAGAGCTGGGCACTGTCCCCAGCCTCAGCAGGACACCTACAGGCTGCATGACGCCAGCTTGGCAAAGGCAACTTCCCGTGGCCTCTGCCCTGCAGGGCGTCGCCTCAGCAAAGCACCAGCTCAGACGCTGCCCTCGCTGGCTCGCACCTCCCTCCCCCGTCACCAGCCCCTCACTCCCTTTGCCCTTTCTTGACCCAGGCTGTAGCCTGAACCCCGGTAGGCTCTCCCCTCCCAGCCCTAGGCTCCCTGCAGCCCCAAAGCCCATCTCCACAAAGCCAGCCCACGGCCCATCACTCCCAGGGCCTCCCTGAGCTAGTCCTCCTCAGAGCCACCTCTTTGGGAGCCCCCCCCCGAGATGTTTTCAGCAGCCCCAGCTGGAAGAGCGAGCCCAGGGCATGGGGCCAAGCCTCTGCTCCACCCTCTCCGTGGGTGTGAGGAATGCTCGCCCTCAGGCCTGCTCTGTGGTCTACGGGAGCAGCAAGTGGCCGCTTCGCTTAACATGCGTGGGGAGCAGTGCAGCGGACAGGACTGGGGCAGAGGGGGACGGTGTGCAGGGAGCACCGCAGCTGTGGGACTCCAAAGACAGGGGAGGTCCCTCTCCTGCAGCTTCTCTGTGGATGCTCCCTGGGGGAGGGGGCCTGGCCAGCAGGCAGCCTTGCCCCAGTGTGGGGCTCCTTCCCACCAGGCACAGCCCTGCACAGAGCGCCCAGCAGCCAGCAGCACCTCCTCCCTCTTCTCCCTGTGCCCCCCCTACCCGTGCCCCCAGGCCCCGCCTCTGACCCAACACTCTGGCCTCCAAGGGCCTCCGGTCCGGGTTGCCCTAACCCCTGTCCTAGGGTCCCAACAGACAGGGGGCCCGGAGGCCAAGGCTGCGCCCACACCTCCCAGCGGAGCCTCAGCAGGGCTCTCCTTCTAACCAGAGTTTAAATAGACAGACACATGCCCAAAGAAGCTGGGCCTGAGCCCACGCTCGGCCAGCAGCCGGCCAGGAGGCAGTGGGGTGAGAGCCTCACTTCCCCCAGCTGGCGGTTTTCTTTCCCCCGCCTCAGCCCATCATGGCCCTCCGATCTGGGTGGCTTTCTGCCTCCTGAGCCCTGGCTCTTGGCCCTGGTGTGGAGAGCGGACTCTACTGCGAGGGCGTGCCAGGTGCCAGGGGCTCTCACGTCCCCGCAGTGAGCACACAGGGCGGGCAGTAAGGAGCCAGTCCTGCCCAGTGCCCCAGGCAGATGCAGCCCTTTTTGAAACCAACATAAACCCGTGTCTGGACTACCGGAACACAATCCACAAGTTCTCCCAAAAGTCCAGAGTCCAAGTTCAAAAGCAGGTCTGAAGGAGCACAGAGCTGAAATGAGTTGTAGGGCATCTCCCACAAGGGCCAAGGCCAAGACCTGACCTGAGCAGGCCGGTAGGCCCCAAGGCCATTCCGGCAGCCTGGCCCTGAGCCATCTGCCAGCCCCGGTCTCACCCAACCCCTCCAAACTCTGCCCTGGCCACCCTGGGCCACTCTCGGCTCCTCTCCCGGCCCTGTTCTCCTGTCCTTGGGCCCAGAACATGTTGCCCTCCTTACTGGAACACCGTTCCCCTCCCTGTTAGCCTGGACAACCATGCTTGCGTCTATGCGTTCATTAACAAAAACCCTGCGGGCTAGGCCTGGGGCTGGATGCCAGGGGCAGGCTGTGAACCAGGCAGCCCAGGAAGGCCCATGTTCTCAGGGGGCTGGTCTGGGACGGCAGCTGTGGGCAGACCGTGACGGCGATGTGGATGGACAGGGCACCGATGCGGGGCAGGGGGACTTGGGGGCAGGCCTGGGAGGGCCTCCCTGAAGTCATGGCCTCCGTGCAGCGAGGAGCCAGCACGCAGGGCCTGGAGGGCAGGGAAGGGGAAACTGAGGAAGGAACGAGCATGTGCGAGGGTGTGTGTGAAGAGGAATCAGCAGTCCTGCTCATTCTCCAGATCTCCGTAAGAGGACAATGGCAGGCCTCCAGCACGCCTGGCCGACCCGATTCACGTCCGGGTGAACCTTAGCATCCTGTGTATCCCCTGTAACCTCCTGTCTGTTTGTCTGGCCCTCACATTCTATTGTAGGTGCCAAGAGGGCAAGGCCACAGAGGCCTCGTTGAGCCCCGCCTCCCTCTAAGCGCCTGCTAAGTCCTCCTTGCATGCCTCCTTGCAGTGCGAGGAGGGAAGTGAGCTGCTGGGGACATGTGTGTGCAGGAGTCCCTGCCCCGGGGGGCAGCCGGACCCCCTGCACTGAGCACACCTGCAGGCAGTCAGGGGCGCTCCTGCACACGGAGCGCACTGTGCTGGCCTCTCCGCAGGGTCAGCAGCAGGGTCTCTGCCCACGACAGAAACGCAAGCCTGCCCACGCTTGGCTGGGCTGGCCTCGGAGGGCAGGCCATGGGGAAGGTCCCGCACAGGTACAAATAGCAGTAGATGCACCTGGGAGGATGGGGCAGGGGCAGGGCTAGAGAACAAAGACAAGTGAGATGTCACTGTGCTTATAGTTAGCATCTCTGGCTTGAGCAAAAAACACCTTATTACTTTTTAAAGCAATTAGACAAATTACATTATTGGACAAATTATAAAATGCCAAGCATGACAAGCTACCTTACTTGTCTAAGGCAAAAATCACCGAAGCCCGTGAGTTTGCACCAAGCTGGGTTAGACGTCTGGGGAACTGGTATCTCTCCCAGGAATCTGACCCTGAATAAATGAGGGCTAGGCTTTGTTGTCTTTATAACACTTAAGCTTTAAAAAAAAAAAAGAAGAAGAAGGTGATGAAATGCCTAGTTCAAAAAACAAGTGCTTTTAATGAAAGTTCAGGAACTGGCAAAACTATACTGTGATGTTAGAGTCTGTTTAATGACAACTTCGGGAAAGAGAATGGAGCTATCTGCTGGGGGGAGGCTTCTTCCAGGGAGCCAGAAATACTTCCTTTTTCAGTCTGGATGATGTAACCATGGGTATGTGGTTTGGCGGTAATTCATTAAACAGAATGCATATATGTTGCGCAGTTTGGGACTGTGCACTTTTCTGTATGTATGTTCTATTTCAGGTACAGAAACAACAAGCTCATAACTGGGCCCGCAGGGAGGAAAAGGGAAGAAGGCGGCCTCCGCATGGAGGATGTGCAGCCCAGCCCTGGCCTGGCCCGGCCAGCACCTTCCCAGCCCTTCTCTCCCCGCACCGCCCCCCCCCCATGCAAGATCACAGCTTCCTCTCCACCCACCAACCTGACAGAGCATCTCTGGAGAACAGAGACTCTGCGTCGCTTGTGCCTCTACAGAAATGTTCCAGAAACGTCTGCTGAGTGAATGAGAATGAGAACGAGGTGCCCATGTGGAAACACCTAATGTGTGAGCTGGAAAATAATGGCCGAGGGTATGGGAGCGATGTTCCGTGGGGCTGGCCGGAGTGTGCGGCAGGCTGCGGGCAGAGGAGAGGTAACGTGGAGAGGGAGGCAAGGCCTGGACTCCGGGGGAGGGTCGGCAGGCCGGCACGCGTGTGGACGGCAGCCGGGCAGCTGCTGCACTGAGCGGGGGTGGCCTCAGCCCCGAGGCCACCATGTGGAACGGCCTGGGGCCACCCTCCCTGCCTTCATGAGACCATGCCCCCATTGCACTGGTCAGCCAGCCGCCATTTCCCTTTCCAGAAGACGGGAAATATCAGGGAACACATGCGCTTCCTTGCTTGTTTTTTCTGGACACTCTGGAGAAGCCTCAGGACAAGCCAGTTACTGGCGGTAATGCGCAGTGACTTACCGAGCGCGGTCAGCTCTGCTATCTCCTTCAAACAGGAGTTTCTGCAGGACACAGCCTTGGACGGCCGCCAGGACCCCACAGGGACCACCCTGCCAAAAAGGACACGAGTTAGTGCCTGTGAGGAGTGACCTCGAGAGCCAGCCGCTGCCCACAGGTGACAGTGCAGGGGGACCCCTCCAAGCCACAGCCTCAGAAACAGGGGTCTCTGACGTGGTGACTCCTTCTACAAAGTGCTGACCCCCAGTCCCAGAGAGGGGATGACAAAGGCGCAGACACCCATCACTAGAGGGAGGGGCAAGTCTGCAATGTTTAAGGGGGAGAAAGTGACTCTTCCCAACTAGTAGACATGGAGCCAGGAACGTCACCATAGGTTTCCAGTCACCCGGGAAATGTATCCGTGTCCACAGGCTGAGGGTGCCAATTGTCTCCCCACCCTTCAAGGCCCATCCTGATGGCCTCCTTCTCCAGGAAGCCCTTCCCAACCGTACCAGCTAGGAGCGAGCCCCTTTGGCAATGATTTGAGCTGAATTTCCCGAGAACCTGGAACGTAGAGGCACTAGAGTTTCCTGGCTGAAGCCCGTGTCTGCTTTCTTAATGACAGCTGCCAGCTGGGCCCAGCGCAGTCGCCAGGCCACAGGGTGACAAGCTACCTGCCATGGTGCCGTGAGCCCTTTCGGGAGCCTCTGCTTTTATGACCTCACTTCTGCCCAGCCTGCGGCCCGCCTCAGCAGCCATTAGGCACATCTGTGTCCCCCCCCCCCGTGAGCCTAAGAAGCCGCCTTGCAGAGCTCATCCCTGTAGGCGTCAACCCGTACAGGATGGTCAGAGCAGCAGGCCGTGGGGGCCCTTGACTTTGGAGTGCAAGAAGACGAGCTGAGCCCGGCCATGCTGGGGACAGAAGCTGCTGTCCTGGGGCCCTCCCCCAGGCAGTGTGGGGCAGGGGAGGCTCCTGGAGCTTGGGAAATGGAACCCAGTCAAACTGCGGGACTTAAGAGGATCTCTTGGCCCTTAAAGTGCACATCTTGGGAAATAGGTATGAGCCATGTTCAAATCCTGCCACGGCCTCCCTACTTCTCCCTGTCTCACATCACACGGCCTGCTCACATGCTTCTGCTCCTCACGTCGCTGCCTCTGCTGTTTCTGCAGGCCCTGCACTCTCCCAACAGCCTCCCCCTGTCCTCCCCCACCCCCTAACCCCCATTCCCGCTTTGTTCACGCTCCACCTGCCTTGAGTGTCTTTCTCCTGCAAAATCATTTCTCCATGCTCCGCCTGGGCCCCTCTCCAGTGCCCCCGCCTGACGCAGGGCCTGCTCCGCTCCCTCCCGGGGGGTTCCAGACTCACGCAGCTCTCACAGGACGGGCCCTGCCCCAGCCCTCGCTCTGGTGGCCACATGTGAAGGTCCTGCCCTGGGTGAGAGCCGGCAAATGTGGCTGGCCGGCACTGCAAAGCCCAGGTAGTGTCCATATGGTTTACCAAACGGGGGTCCATCCCACCCCTGTCCTCGACAGGCCCGCAGAAAGGTCTGGTAGAAACTTAAGGGCCACCTGCCTTGTTCTGCACAATGCCGTATTTTAACGAGTCCGTGTCGTTAAATGAAAAACTCTGAAGTTTCCATTCCTCATTGAAACAGCAAAAGCTGGAACCAAAGAGAACGGTCTTTATGTCCTGTAAAGAGAAGAAGGTGTTCATATTGACTGTTTGAACAATAAACAGCATACTGCTCCATGGATGTGTCCCCCGCAGGGCTGGTGCTGGACCCCAGCAGGGCAACCCACCTCCACCAGGGCTGTGTACTTTCTTTTCAGTCTGCAAACCCATTCTTCTCGTATTGGAAGAAAGATCAAATCGGCCGTGAGGGTCTCACCTCTGGAACACCTGTAAACCAAGCCAGCCTGTGCTGGCCCAGGCCAAAACCTTTTTAGGTTCCTTAGAGGAAACTCGAAACACAAAGCTTTAGTTTCACAAGGCAACCTCGAAGTCCTTGACCGCATGTGATAATCTTCGACTGAGCTCCAAACAGTCCCGACGCTCAGGTCGCACGCCAGGCCGACTAAATCAGAAACGCTGGGCTTCAGGTTCCAGAGTCTGTATTTTTAAAAGCTCCCAGGTGAGTCCCATGTGCAGCCGAGTTTGAGGACTGGTGCTCCAGCACAGGTTTAGCAAAGCCACGGGCCAAACCCACTCCCGCCCCAACATACACTTGTTTTACAAGTAGAGTTTTATTAAAACACAGCCGTGCCCATTTGTTTACACTTTCAGTGTTTGCTTTTACACGGCAACGGCAGAGTTGAGTGGTTGTGACAGAGAGCCAAAAATATACTACCTGGCCCTTTAGAAAAAAGTCTGTCAACCCCCGCACTAGTACAACCCCCTACTGTGCGTAAACATCTCCTCTACAACATCCCCTATGAGTGGTCCTCCGAGACCTTGGCTTGAACACCCCAACCCTCCCAGGCGGCCCCTCATTTTTTCACAGCTCTGCCTTCTCTAAACTTCTGGCTGACAGGGAGCTCATGGTTTATCTCCCATCAACCCAACCCCACCCTCCAGAGCCTCTCCCCACTGACTGGCCCTGGACAGTAAGGCGGAGCCTCTCCCGGACGCCCACTGCGCCTGCCGGCTACTTCCTGCCTCTCCGCCAGGACTGTGTGTCCAGGGGCCCTGAAGAAGCCAGCACGTGGATTCTGACACCGCCTCCCCAGAACCCCTCTCTGGGTTAGGTCTGTCCTCCAAACTCAGATTATTTCCCTCCAATTTTTTTTTTCATTAAGTACAAGGAAAGTCTTGGTGACAGCATGTGTCTACCTGCCATCGGACATGGGCTGGTAGCACAGGAGAGAGGGAGGGGAGAGCTCACCTGTCAGGGTTTGGTTCCAGGCACCGACGACAATCACCCGTGTACGTGAACTGAGTTTCCCGAGAGCCTGGAACCCCAGGGCACTAGAGCTTCCTGGCTAAGCCCGTGTCTGCTCTCCTAACGACAGAATGACGGCTGCCAGCGGGGCCCAGCGCAGTTGCCAGGTCACAGGGCTGTGAGCTACCTGCCACGTGCCGTGGGCCCTAGGCCCGCCTTTCCTCTGTGTGGGCCTCCGCTCTCCAGCTGCTTTTGGAGATGCTACTGCTGGGTGGCCTCCAGGGCCTCTAAGGACCCTTCCCAAAGCATGAGCGCCCACTGCAAAGAAGCACTGCCCTGTGGCCACAGACGGCCAGAGCACCTCTTCCTAGGTTCGGGGTCACGGACTCGTATCTGACCTTTGGCCATTTCCAAAGAAGAAAGAAAAAAGGAGACAAGGGGAGGGAAAACCTCTAGAAAAATCTTTGACTTTGCATCGCTGGGCTGAGTAAATCCTTGGTGGGCAGGAAGACGAGGGGGTCAGCTGTGTCCCCAGGAGTTTTACCCTCTCTCAGTTCATCTCACTGGCCGGGGGCGGGGGTGGGGGAGGCAGACTGGCAGCAGAGAGGTGAGGAATCCTGGATGCCCCTGCAGCGGAGGCTGCCAAGGCCGGGGACCTGCCCCTCAGGTCCCAGGCGTCCTTCTGGGAGACCCCTGGTGCGGACCCAGGGGGCGCTGAGGAACTGTCAGCACCTCCCTGTGCGTCCTCATTGCAGGCCAGCCTGAGTCCAGAGAAGCACGTAGGAGCGGGGCCAGCCTAATGAGGACAGTCCCCCCAGTACAATCCCAACTCAGGAGGCCTGTTGCAGGTGAGGCGAAGCTGCTCGGGGACGAAAGAACAGGCCTGGAAGGTCTGGATGGGAGGAGGTGGACGGGGGCCACCAGGACGAGGCCCCCCTTCCTGACTCCCACTTCAGGGCTTCTTCAACATCCCACCCAAATTTCCATTGTAACAGTGACCAAGGGGTTACAGTGAAATGGATGGGGCCAGAAGAGTCAAATCACATCATCCATGTCCATTCAAATCAAGATGCATCACCTCACACTGTTTAGCCGGCACCTACCTTTGCCACTGAGAAGTCGATGGGCTTTGACACTATTTGAAGCTTGAGCATCGACGAGACTGGAGAGAGAACGACTTCCTCCCTTATCGATTCATCCTCCACATCCTCTGAAAGAGAACCTTGGCCATGTGAGCTCTTGTCATAACTCACAGAGAACAGAACATGAAGTCGCGTAACACTCAGGGCACTGTTGAGTTCTGCAACGCTTTGAATGAAAGGCGGGCTCCTCCACCAACCACCCCCCTTACCTATGGGGCTCCCAGGCCCTCATCAGAAGGAACAAAGGCAGGACAAGAGCCCTCGCTCCTTGTCCAAATGCCACACTGGCCCCTGACACAGGGCTGCTGGTGGGTGGGACGCGGCTCCAGGCCCCCTGAGAAGTCTGCTTGTGGGCACACAGTGAAAAACCAGCCTGGGGCCCAGGCCAGTGAGTCCACCCAAAAAGGCCTCACTCAGACACATTTCTTATGAAAGGTGGGCATGTGGCACAGATCTCTCCCCTGAGGCCAAACATAAAGAAGGCAGAATTAGCCCAGGAAATGCCACCATTCCTGATAGAATAATAATAGAGGATCACTGCTGTGGTTTTCATTTACTAACCACTCCTGTTTTATCACCTCAGCCCTGTAACAGCCCCCTGAGGGAGTAATTATCACACCCCTCCTCCTGGTTTACAGATGAGGAAACTGAGGGATAGAGAAGGTGACCGGGCCACAGTCATGCAGATGGCAAGTGGCAGAGACAGGATAAAAACCCAGGCCGACTCTTCATTGGTCTGCCCTCCTACCAGCCAGATGTCCGCAGACCTCCAGCCAGAAGGGACACTAGGTCACATTCTGGGTACAATCTTCTTACAGCTGGGGCGACTGAGGCCCAGACAGGGTCCGCGTGAGTCTGGCAGTGCCAGCCCGTGCCTCCCCAGCGGCTGAGGCTCCTTCTCGTCACCCACCCATTTTCCAGAACGCCTGCTGAAGGGCCCACGTGAAAGCTACGCAGGGTGGTCGGGCCGGCAGGGCTGAGCAGACCGCTCCCTGGGCAGCCTCGGGAGCCTCCTGGATTTTTTTCCCATTTTCCCAAGATTAAGTGCTAATTTGAAAAGCACATCACACTGTAGAGATATCAACATTCTTTCCCATAATCCTGTGCGTCCGGGGCTATAAAAATGTCACTGCCCCTGCCCCACACCCCTCTGGAGATGCTTTCCAAATGCCATCAGCCTCAGGACACACCTTACATCTTATTCTCCTGCCTCCTTTACTGCCCTTGGGGAGGTGCAGGCACAGCCCATGGTCAATGCCTAGGGGCTCAGTCCCCCAAAAAGGAGACAGATTCCACTTTTAGTCTGAAAAACAATGTTTTAGTAAGTCTGCGATTTAAATGAGAACCTTTCATACTCAGGATCTCTGAAAAAGCCACCCTGTGACTGGCCTTACAAACAATACCCTGAAATAAAGTCCAGATGTTCACCCAGCAACATGCAAGGGGCTTAAAAACATGGCGTTGGGTAGACAAAGTAAGAAAGCCAATGGGATTTACATCCATGACAAACACATGCACACAAAACACCATCACGCATTTTTCAAGGGCATGCACAAGCCAAAGATACTGACTAAATACACGAGAATGGTTGCCTATGGAGGAGAGGGTTGGGGGAGTTTAGGGGGTGGGGCCAAAGGAAAACAAAGCAGAAAAGACGAGAGGGAGCGAAGAGAGGGACTGAGGGAGGGAGAGGGCAGGCTTTGCAAGGACTGGTACCAAGAATTATTGCTGGAGGAACAGAAGTGATTCAACCATAGACCCCAGAGGCCCGAGACAGGGGGAGAGAGCCACCTGAGCAGTTCCACAGGGCCCTGAAGGGCTCCTTGCAATGCTTGGGCCAGACTGTTCCTGGGGAATAGAAGGGGCAATATTTAAGGCTATGGGGGGCTTCTGTTTAGTCTCAGGTTGTCTGGGAGGGAGCCAGGGCTGACACGCACTCCACTCAGGCCCCCTGAGGCACGTTGGAGGGTGGAGGCTGGGCCTTGGGGAGCAGAGCGGGTGGAGGCCCCAGGAGGGCGAGCCGCCTAGCTTCTGCCAGGGGGGTGCTGGCCCCCGTCCAGGGCGTTGGCCAGGACCACATAGCAGGCCTCGGGCCCGGATGTGGCGGGACCGCCATGCAAGGGAAAAACAACGCACTACCGAGTGACATGCTGGCCAAGCAGACACAACCGTCCACAAATGCCGGTGGTTTGAGAAGCTATTTTTAAGGTCCTGGTATAAATATCTGGTTGAAAGGAAGCAAGAAGTTCTGTTTCCCATCCCATTTTATTTACCCCTTGGAGGAGAACATACAAGGCCTGTATACATCTTTTTCCAGGTGCCTCTTCGGTAGTTCTACTGATTATAAGCTGTCTTCTGGGAACACCCAACACAGCCCCCCTCCAGGCTTCGGTTCTGATAACAGACTCCATCTCCCCAGCCCTCCACCAGGGACCTGGGCTGAGACCTCCACCCCCTCCCACGGGCCGGGCCGGCCTCCACGCCATTCTGCCCCCGGAATGCCTCCTGCCTCGCCCCCGCCCTTTCTCTCTCCACTGCCACAGGAATACACCGTTATTTTTCTATTTGGTCATCAAGCACTTTACTCATGAGGTGCCAGGGGTTAGGCGGGACAGAGAAGAGGTAAAGATTAAAACATCTCCCCTGCCTTCAAGGAGACCCCTCCCTAGAGGGGGAGACAGGGCCCGTCACAGATAAGATAGCATCAGTGCCCAACAAGAGGAGTGCGAAGGTTTGAAGAGCAGGGGGCGAGAGGTAAACAAGGCTTCCTTTGCAAGGCCAGGGAAGTATCCTATGAGAGGTAAATATTTGAGCAGAGTCTTGAAATACCCATAGCATTTCCCCATATAGAAGGGGACCAATTACCTCTTTTCTGGACTATTCCAAGAGCCCCCCTCACCAGTCTCCCCAAGTCCGGGCTCTTACTCCTAAACTCCATCCCCCACGCACATCCAGAGCGAGCCCCGAACACACAGCCCTGGACGCGTTGCGCACCAGCAGACCCTTCCTTTCTGGCCAAGGGTGCGCAGCCAGACCCTGTTGCCCAGCACTCAGGGCCGCCCCCGTCTGCCCCAGCCTCCTTTCCCCCGGGCTCCACAGCTTCCCCGACAGGCCGGCCACCTCCAGCCAATCTCTCTCTCTCGGACTCCAGGCTGGCCCATGTGGCCCCTTTCACAGCTCCGCTTGGCAAGGTCCTTCCCATCCCACAAAGCCCAGCCTAAATCCCAGCTCGCCACGGACACTTCCGGAACCCACCACAGAACCTGGTTCGTAGGCCCCTTGCAGCAGCGGAGAACCACGGGCTGTGTGCTTCCGGGGCTGCTATGGGAGGACACCTCTCTCCCTTTGTGCCACCAGTCCTGCCCTCCATCTTCTTCCAGCAGTCACGTGACTGCTAAGACAGCTTTGCTGAACTGGACCACGTGACCTGCGGTGGGGAAAACATGCAGTCCCTCTCCCCAAATTGGACTCCTTCTTCCTGTCCCCACGCCAGAGCCCCTCCCCTTCCTCTTGGTGACCGGGGTTCCACTGGCTCTCTTTTCTCCTTGAAATTCTTAGCTGTTCCACGAGCCAAGAGGGGCCTGCCTCCCTCTGGAAAACACACGCACTTCAAAGTGCTGGGTTCTGAGAGATGTGCTAAAAGCCTCCCTTCTAATAGAAGCCCGCTGGGCTCTGAAGACCGGGAATGGCTTCGCATTATGCCCAAACAGAAGTGGCTTTCAGTGGAAAATCTTCAAGTGAGGCTCTTCACAGAAAAGCTCCAGACGCCAGCATTTCCTGGCTCCGTGCTCACTTCAGTGCAGCCACGTGCGGAACGCAGCCCCTTCCTGGGTAGGCCGCACAACCCCTACCAGCCACTCCTGATGACTAAAACCAAGGAGCTGTTACCTCTGAAGTGAACTAAGCAGGGTAAACAAACCCCTGCCTTTCAACTTCATCAAAGCCATCAGACCGCAGGCCTCACCCAGAAACCGCTGAAGGGCTTAGGCTTTCTTCCTTTGGTTGAAAGGAAATGCTTAAGAGGAGAGGGAAAGTGAGTGAACAGCTCTACGTGCCAAAATGGTCCAACAGATAAAGTGTTGGCTCGCAGAAGAAGAGCAAATGTAAAGGCACCCACACCCCCGCGTCGTGCGTCTGGGTGCTGGTGCATTATCCCCTCTTCTGTCACTGCTTTTGCCAAGCCCTGCAATCACATCAGTCTGCGGAGGACAGAGAACTACAGAAAGGGGCAAAGACGCTGCTTCAAAACTAAAGAGTGCGTGCGGACTTACAGAGATGTATGCCCACGTGAGAACGCACTGAGCTGAGCGCTGGAGGGTTGTGCGCTTGCTCGCCTCACAGTTCATAGTTTACACCTCAATCACACGCATTTTTCAGAAGGACAGACTTCCCCAGGCAGAGCTAAACTGGTATTTTGACTGAGAACTGTCTTCTGAAGACCTTTGTATGTTCTGGGTGGCCCTGAGAGAACCTCCAAATGCAGAAGGGGCTCCCCTGGCCCCCTTGTGGACCCAGGAACGCAGACTTCGTATGAGGATTTCTCTAGGAGGGAAAGACAGGCGGTACAAGAAGATATCAACCAAAAAGAGAGAAGCTTCCTGCGGTTAGAGGCAAGAAAGGAGCCCACACCACTGGAAGAGAGCCCCACCACCTCCAAATGGAAGGCACAGCACAGCACAGCGGCTGCGGTCCCACCTACCGAGCTGCAGGGCACCCATCTCAACATCGGCCTTGCTGGACACTGGCAACTGATTTTTCCTAGAAAAAAAGAAAATGTCAATGTACCAGAGCAGATGACAGAGATGCAAACAGGCGAAGGGAACGGGAGGGGTGCTGGAGGGGCTCCTTCTGGCCTGGCCTGCCACTCTGTGTGTGCCTTGCACTGGCCGCTTGCCCTCTCTGAGCCACAGGCTCCACACTGGATGGAACCAAGGTGCCTTTCTATGCTGTGTTCACACACACACACACACACCAGACAGTGCCATGTACACCTGCCACGAACCGGTGCAAGCCACCTTGCTGGTGTCGCATGACGCCACTGGAAACACACATGCAGGTTCTTGTGGCCACTACACAGGCCATTCTCGTCTCATCTCTGCTCTTTGCTTCCTTCCTGCCAGCTTTCCTGTAAAGCTATCAGCCACCACTTAAAAGGCACTGAAGAACCTGTCCTGTATCCTTCTCTTCCCAGGAAAACTCTCCTGTGCTTCTGATTTGTAAATTCAGGTATATGCACGAGACACTTTCTTAAAACGACCTACCTGTATTTAATTCTAATTCTCTTTAGGGGATTCCCCCTCCCCCCAGCATGCATCCATCTGAACTAAAGTAAAACCATTTTCTAAAAAGAATGTATTAAAAATAACAATATGACATCACTCTCTGAAAACCCGTTTACTATGTTAAAAAATGACAGCTCTTTTGATGGTGGCCTTGAAATATCTTTTCCTCCAACATCCTTGCAGGGTAAGATACGATTGAAGTAACAATCGTAATCTCGCCACTGCAGGTTCCATTGAATTGGCTTCCTCCTGAAGATGTATGAAGGGGCCTGAGGGGAGACCGCCGAGGACGTGCAGTACCCAACCCGGGCACAGGCTGCCTCAGCTCCAGCTTCCTACTCTGCGGCAGGGACACAGGGCTCTTCCGCCTCCCTCCCCCCCGCCCGGCTCCTCCCCGCCCCGGCATCCCCGCTCATCACGCCATTTTCTCCATTCAAACCAGCCACATCTCTGCGCCCCTAGCTACCAGGATTCTGCACGTGCTCATGGCAAGAGAATGGCAGGAGAAGGGGCTGGAAAGAGGTGCTAGGGCATGGACAGGCCGTAGCACACATGGACGGTGAATGCAGAGGCTGCTGAGTCAGAGTCGCCCCCCCCCCCCCCCCCCGCCAAATCCCCAGCACTCACAGCAGAAGCCGCCACCTGCTGCCCCCCACCAGCTCCCCACCTCTGTCTAAACCTGTCACTGTTTCACCCGGAGACTAAGGCAAGCGCCCTTCCCTTGCAGAGCCAGGACTCAAACCCAGGCCACTGCCTCCCATCGGGTCCCCATCTGAGAAGCAGTCATGGAGGCACCGGGGCACGCGCAGAGAACGGCAGGAGCCACCCTGCACATCTCCGGAACATCCGCGGCCACACGGCTCTGCTCTCTGCCTCTCCCGCCCTTACCCAGGTCACTGCAGTAGCCTCCTAACTGCTTCCCAGACCCCCCCCCGCAGGGGGACACCCCACAGTGCCATGGCAGCCCCCCACATCCTCACATGAGCATCAAAGGCATCTATTTTAAAAAGAAAACCTGACCGCACTGCTGCCTGGCTGACATTCGTCAGCGGCTCCCCATCGCCACCACCATCAATAAGCACATCCATAAAAACGACAGCCATGTAACAGCAGAGATTGTCATCTGACCCCTTCGACGGGTCCGGCACGGCGCCGACCGCTCTGCGAGCACCGGAAGCCCTCCGCTCTCCGAACGGCTCTGTGAGGTAGTTCATCACGGAGCCTCCGACAGGCCCTGCAGCTTCCCCGTGTCACACAGCAAGTGAGGGGCAGCGCAAGAAAGAGTCTGAGCCCCGGCGACCACTCCAAAGACCCCCCACATATAGCGCTTCCTTATAAAGTCAAATCCAGGCCCATTAAGGTGCCCTGTGAGCTACTTGTGCCCCGGCCCCCCACCGCCCTGGCTCACCCCACTCCGCGCCCTCACACTCCACCGGCATCCCCTGGGGCAGAAGTCCTCCGCCCGGGCCTCTGTACATTTGCCTAAGCTGTTCACTGCGCCTGGACTATCCTTGGGCAAACCCACGCTCATCTTCTACAGCCCAAGTGGGATGTCACCCCCTTCTCAACTCCAAAGCACGCATTCATTCATTTCTCCACCCACTCACCCAGCAAGCACACAGGTGGCAGTTATCAGGCAGGCCTGTCTCCCCCGCCCAAGGGAGGCCCAGCCTTGGAAAATAAACAGACGCAACTTGCAATGTGAGGCAGTGTGGAAGGCTGAATGCTGGCCCCCAATGAAATCCATGCCCTAGACCCTGTGAATGGTCCCTTATGTGGTAAAAAGGACTTTGCCAATGGGATTCAGTGAAGGATCCTGAGATGGAAGAAGGTATCCTGATTATCCAGGTGACACCAATGTAACTACAAGCGTCTTTCTAAGAGGGACACAGAACAGTTGGCACAGAAGAGCAAAGATGATGTGAGGGAGAAGGCAAAGGTTGGGTGACATACTGCAAAGCTGGAGGAAGAGGCCACAAGCTAAGCACTGTGGGCAACCACCAGAAGCTGGCAGAAGCAAGGAAACTGATTCTGCCCTAGAGCCTCCAGAAAGAACTTGCCCTGCCAGCACTGACTGGAGCCCAGTGGAACTGATTTCAGACTTCAGTCCTCCAGGGCGGTGACATAATAGATTCATGTTGTTTCACGCCACAAAGTTTGTCAGAATTTGCTATAGCAGCCACAGGAAACCAATACGGATGGTAAGAGAAATAGCCAAGAAGGAACAAAGGACCGCAGGACCCTACTGGTCACCTCTTTATCCCGTGTGCCCCCAATGCTCCTAAATGAATGTCGAGTGTCTATAAGGGACCCTCATAGAAGCTGGGTGGTTCAGACAAGGTCACACAACTTAGAAGCGACAGAGCCAGGACACAAACCCAGGCCACTGTCTCCAAATGCTCTGTGTTGCTCTTTCTTCCAGTTTATGCTTTCTTCCCTGCCCGGAACCCTCCAAGGCTCTCTGTGGACCATACGACAAAGTCCAAACCTCCCAAGTGGCCCCCCCAACTCCTGAGGGCAAGGCCAGGAGGCACGAGGGTGGCCCTGAGTTGTGGTGAGAGGGTGGGGGCCATGTCCCCACTGTGCAGGGTACAGATGGGCCGCTCCCAGTCATGGGACTTCCCCCCGGAGCTCCATCCATCAGCTGCAAGGGCCCCGCTCAGATGCCTGTGCCCATTTCCCATAGATCTCATCACCGGAGGAGACTCGTGCTCACACTTGGGGAATGTGCCTTTTGTTCCTTTTATGTGTCCCTTTGTGACATGAGCATTACAGAGTTTAAAAGGTCAATTTAAAAGCATGTTCTTGCCTTTGAATGAAAACCATTATGAAAAACAATGACAAAAAGATAAATCAAGGACTCAAAACACTTTTTCAAAAATTTGATTGTGCAGATAACCCATGACATGTGTCAAAGCATGCATCTAAATCCACGGGAGGAGGGCTGCCAACGGCCAGCTCGCCCGCTGGGTACGGGGCCTCCACTTCCCATCCGGGCTCCTCTCTGTGCCCCGAGGCGGAGGGGGCCAGGGCCAGAGCGCTGCGGGTGTCCAGAGCTGCCGGGGGCCAGGGCCCCGCCCCTGGGTAACCGGCTATGGGTTGGGTGGACAGAGCCCCTTGGAGGCCTGAGTTACTGTCCCTGTTGACCCCCCCGCTCCTGCACTCCATGTGACCTTGGGCAAGTCACTTACCCACGGTGGGCGCCTGAGCATGCCCACTATCGGACGTGACCAGACACAGTGGCTCTGAGGGGACGTGCCCAGGCCATGCCATTCTCGAAAATGCTCTAGTGTGTATGTACCCCAACACTCAGGATGTTTCACCAGCTCTTAACATAAAAATAGAGAGGAGGAGTTGCTCTTTCCTGTATGTTTGGTAGTGGATAGATACTCAGCTAAATTAGTTATGGATTCCAAAAGGAAGGTGTCCTGTGAGAATAAACACATTGTTCTATTGATGAAAACTCAGAATCCAGTGTGAATGGAGTTCAGATTGAGCCCATTTATGCAGCACTGGAATCCAGAATATAAAATCAACATAAGACTTTCCAAATCAATGATATCCTGGCACAGGATATGCATATAGTCTGGACGTTACAGATTCCTTATTAATGTAAAAGGGAAAGTTACCTCCATAATGATGAAGAAACCACCATAATGGAGTGATCCAACCTGGCATCACCAAAAATAAAACAAATTGACCTTTCATGCTCCTGATGTGATGTAATGGGAAAACACAACATCGTATATGTACTGTCCTTGCCGAAAGTCCTTGACGTAAACCTAATAACAAAAAAAGACATCTAGAATATGGCCGTTCTATGAGACAACAAGACTACACTCACCATGAGAAACTAAAAAAAGAGGGGAAATTGGGTGAGGTTAAAAGAGACTACAGAGACATGGCTAAACTAAACTAAAGCCTAAAATAAATATTTGGGAGCCATTTGGGAGAAATTTGATTAAGGGCTTGATATTAGCTGATGTTACTGAATCAATATGAATGAAATGCCTTGGGTGTGGTCATGGTGCTGTGGTTATGTAGGGGAATGTTCTTGTCCTTGGCTGAAATACTTAGGGGTATCTGAATTTTACTTTCAAATAGATGTGTGTGTAATAAATACATATAATATATGTGGGCCAGGAAAGAAGAGAGAGAAAAAACAAATGAGACAAATCTTAGAATTGCTGAATGTAGGTAAAGGTTATATATAAGTGTTCGTTGTACTATTCTTTAAAATTTTCTATAGGTTAGAACTTTTTTGAAGCTGGGGATAAACTTTCAGTGAGCTTAAAAAAGGAGATCAGATACAGTGAAGAGATAATGAATTACTAGTAGCTATTAGATAACAACACTCAGATTACAACTCAATCAGAAGAGAGATAGAGTATCTGAAAGAGACACAGAGGAAAATAAGAAACATAGAGGGGAAAAAAAAGTTAAGTCCAATATACATGCATGAGGAGTTCTAGAAGG